ACGGGGGGCCGCACCCAGAAGGCCCGAGTGCCGGATGACTGGCAGCACACCGCAACGCCAAGGGACACTCCCAGGAAGCAGCCGATCCCACTTCCGGCGCCCAACATCATCAAGCAGGACCCGGTGGTTTTCCACAAGAGCTCGGTGGGGCTGAATGAAGGGGGCCAACGCCTTTCAGCTACCCCCCTGACAAGTCCAACGGAGCCGTCACCGGGATTGGACATCTTCCCGTGGATGGAGAACATCCCTGAGCGTCTGGTACAGCGGCTGAGATGGACACAGGGCACATCGCCCAAAGTTCCATCCAGTGGGCCCATCATTGTCCTGCTCTATGCAGGCAAGGAAGACCCAACTTCCTTGGACAGCTGTCTTCATGCCAACTACCCACACCTTCCAGCATGGTGGTGGCGGTAGACATCCTACGGTCTGGACCAAAAGGGGACCACGATATGCTCCAACCCGAGCTGTATGGAGCTCTTTGCACGGCAGCAAAGCAGGGCCGAGTGGTCTTCATTGGAGGAGGACCCAACTGCAGGACATGGTCCATCCTGCGCCACATACCAAAACCGGGGGCTCCCACCCCGGTGCGAGGGCGCACTCCAGAGACACTTTGGGGCCTTCCACACCTGGACCAGGCCGCCCAGACTCAACTTGATGATGACAGCATCCTCATTCTGAGACAGATGTACATCACCAGCCTGGCAAGGGCCTCACGAGCGGCGGTTTCTCTGCCAGGGCCCAGGTCCTTCCTGGAACACCCGGAGGACCCAGTGGTGAGCAGCTCGCTGCCCAAAGCCAAGGAATGCTCATCCTTCTGGATCACAGAGGAGGGGCAGCTTTGGATGGAGGAGAACTCCTTGACAGCAATCTCCTTCGACCAGTGCCGCCTGGGCCAGCTGGTCAAGAAGGCCACTACGCTGGCCACGGATCTCCCGATCCAGGACTGGGATCAAATGCGGTGCACGCATCAGTCACATGTGGGCACCAACGAGTCCTCGACTCTTAGCAGATACCCTTGGGATATGATGGCAGGCCTGGCCAAAGCCATCGCTGTGTCACTCGCAGCGCCGGGGCACATCCGGATCCCCTCACAATTTCCGGGAAACCCCAAGGGACCACCTAAGGGGCGGGGGTCGGACCCCCCGGAAGGCCATTCCCCCCGGGGAAAACGGGGGCCCAGTCAAGGAGGCGGTCCCTCCTCATCACACCAGGGCTCAAAGCCCGGAGGCAAGAACGCCCCGAAGCCCCGCCTGCACGGGCAGTTCCACCCTGAGGCAGACACCGTAAGCCCTCGTGGAACAATGAACCCAGACTTCCCATCTCCCATGCCCCCGATGGCCGGAGATGCGGAACAACTGGGGAAGGAGGGACAGGGGGACCAGGTCCTGGACCGCCCCGAATGCCTGCCCGCTTTCAGGGTCCCACACCTCACTGACCGGGTGGCGATTGTCCAATTGGGTTTCCGCTCACGCCCCCTGAGGGATGGGGGGGGAAAACCTTCCCCAGGGAGGCTCAACCCCCCTTTTCGGAGAATTTCCCCATTGGCTACTTTGGGCGCCCTGATCATGACCCTTACCCGGCCCTGGATTGACAAGGTCCGAATGTCCCTGGCATCAGGTGCCACCACACACCCCTTCCAGGAAGCCGACCTCGAGGAGCTGCGGGCTATCCTAGGACCGAGGCACCTCCATGAACGATGCCCAGGACAACCCTTCCTCCTGGACTTAGTGTCGCACTTGGCATCCCTTTCAGGTGACCCTGATTGGGAGTTCCCCCTAACACTGAAAGAGGGGGTCCCCTTGGGAGTCTCGGACCCTACCTTGACCTCCCCGGGAGTTTGGCCCACTAAGGAGGAGCTTAAGGGAGAAGCCTGGCTGGGGGAAGATCCCCCCCCGCCAGTGGCTCATGATAACTACCCAACGGCTGAACTCTTTGCCAAGGAAATCGAATCAACCTTTTACGAGGAACGAGCCTTGGACATGGTGGACGGGCCCTTCACTCGCTCCGAGGCGGCAGAGAGGTGCCGCTGCAAACCGGAGGAACTTTGCCCGGGCCCCCTTGCAGGGATTGATGAGTCGGACAAGATCAGGACGATCTATGATGGCTCAAAAGGGGGAGCAAACGCACACATCCAGGCTCACACGGAGGAGAAGACCACCGCACCGATGGTTGGAGACTGCCTCCATGCCATCCACTGGCTCAGGACAGCGGCGGACCATCCTCATCTACTCCGAGCCCCATCCTCGGGCACTGATGAGGAACCTCGGGATGTTCACCAGCCGGTGCAGGAGCAGTCCTCAGGTGCCGAGGGCCCTGAGAGGGACCCCCACAGCACCAGCTTGCCCCCAGGTGCCGAGGGCCCTGATAGGGGCAGGCGGATGATGGAGACCTCCGGTGGCCTGGACGTCTCTCCGCGGTTCCCCCCCCCTCCGGGAAGGGGCCACTCCCAGGTGCCGAGGGCCCTGATAGGAGGGCCCCATTCCCCCCAACCCCCCCAGGCACGGAACGCCCTGGGGGGACAGACTCTTGTACTACATTTTTTTTTAGGTGGACTGGCACTTAGTTTTTGTGGACGACTACTGCTGGGTCCTCAGATGCAGCAGGGCGGACTGGGACGCCACAGCCATCCTGGCCACTCTTCTGGCGCTGGGAGTCCCGCTTTCTTGGAAGAAGACGGCGCTCTCCCCGGTCAATACCTGGTTGGGATTCGTGGTGGACCCAATCACGCCCTGTGTGCTGCTGGCTCCAGTCAAGCACGTCATAATCCTGGCCACTCTCAAACGGCTGGCCCAGGGGGACATCTTTACCAGCAAGGAGGTGGAACAAGCCCTGGGCCGGATTCAATGGGCTACTTCGGCGTGTCCATTGACGAAACCTTTCCTCCAGCCCTTTTGGAGCTGGAAGAAGGCCTGCACCACTTCGGGCAGGCCACCGAAGCTGGTTCGTGCTCTGGCCATCCTTCTGGGGAAGCTCTTCAACCAGAGGTTCCCACTGGCATCTCCATTTGCTCCCACACTTCCATGGACGGGGGCATCTGATGCGGGAGCTGGCAAACAGGCGGACCATGCATGGGTGGTGGTTGGTGCTCGGACGTGCCCAACCCCGACAAGTCCCGAGTGAAGTGGTTCCAACACAGAATCACACCGGAGGGCGAGCCGTGGGCCTTCACTACTGGGGACCCGCAGCGGGCGATAGCGGCCTTGGAGCTCTTCGGCCTCCTCCTTTTGGTGAGGGCTGTTCTGCTTTGTGCAGCTGGCTCGGCTTCTCACACTAGGATTCTGGTTGCTAGTGATAACCAGGGAAACGTTTTCTCCCTGCTTAACGATTCCACTCGCAGGATGCCCAATGCGGCCATCCTCATGGAAATTGTGTTAACACTGCATGACCACCAGGTCATGTTAGGACCGTCGCATGTGAAGCGCGACTTTAACACATGGGCGGATGAACTTACTCATCCGGACCCGCAATTTCCGACTGAGAACCGGGTCTTCCCCTCAGTCGAAAGCGAATTGATCAAGCTGATCTTCGCTACTTTCCTTCCTCACCCATGATGCCGGGAGGGCATCCGGTGAGGTGGGAGGATTCCTCCCTCGCTGTGGGAGTGGCATCAATTCTACTCCCATCAGCTGCTGAGGGGAGCTGCCCAGTGGAGCTGGGCAATCCTCCCATTTTGGCACTAATCCTTCTGCGGCGTAAAGGATGCACCGTTTCGCGATTAAGGTACCAGTAGCACCAATGTGGTGCTTTGAAGAGTCTTATAGTTTTCCCTTGATGGTGTTAAAATTAACTTATCACTACTGGACATATTTTCATTTTTTCCAGGGGTCTTAGCCAAATGGAAGTGACTTGAAGGCAGATATATAGACCTTGCACCAGAGCGTCGGGGACGAGTTGCCTCGGGAACCCCCCCCCCCCACCAGAGCAGCTTTGTCAAGGAAGACCTCCCCACTATGCCGCGCCCATTGAGCTATGGGTGGTTCCTAAAATGGAGTTCCTGCCTTCAATATATAACGGGTTTGCCGTTGTTTCCTTTTGACACCGCAAAAGCGTTCCTGGTTAGGATGCAGCCATCCCACATCTTGTGATTTGTGCAGGCTTTCTCGACTCAAGATCCTTTGTTGATTTAGAGTGCTGGGGACTCTGGTGAACATGTTTGTACTGCCTGAACACAGGCTGACCCATCCCTGTACACTGTCAAACACAGGCCAGCCTGTATGCGAAAATGGTTCGCGTGCGTCAAGCTTTTTTGTTTTTTGGTTTTACAGGGAAAGGTGATGGTACTCTGCAGTCAAGAGGAAAACCTTCATCCTTGTGGTGAATCCAGCAAAGCCATTTTGCAAGTATACTAGATTTTTTGTTGATTTCGTTTTCGTGGCTTTCGACTAGTTGCCGTTGCTCAACTGTTTTTGTGTTACACGTGTTTCTGGCTTTGTCCTGTGCTGTGTTCATGGGATTTCACCCCTCCCCTCCTCCCATACCCTTAGAGGCCTTAATGTGGCCTTATCAGGATCATATTGATTGTATATACCAGGGGGAAGGGGGTTGGATCACGAGGGCAAAGACACGCTGCTTAGCGGCCTGTTTCAGCTGAGTGGGTAGTAACCCCAAAAACAAAATCCCCCCCAGAGTTTCTCAAAATAGCCCCCCCTTTGTCTTTTGGCAGAACATGCTAAGCAAAGTGCGTGGAGCATGTACTCCATGATAGACCCTTACTGGCCAAAGAAAGCACGCCAAGCAAAGAGCACGACATGTTCGCTCCTCATGTGTAGCACCTTGACGGCCCTTTGCAGAAAAGTTCTCGAGTAGAGCATAACATGGACTGTCACGGTCAAGCGAACGCACTTCGCTGGTCTCCAATCATATTTTTTAGACCAGATATGGAACAGAGTCACTCAATATATATATATAATACTATATATAATATGCATATGTATACATATATATATATATATGTACCCCAGGTACGGGCCAAGTCATAAGACCCCCCAGCTTCATGAAAGGTTCTTCCGTGAGACCTACGTGGAGCGCCAGCCCGCGGAGAGTCAGAACGACCGCAACGACCGGGCCATCCGCCGGGTGGCGCATTGGTACCGGCGCCACATCGTGGGCCCAGAGGCGAGCTTCGGGACTTCGGCGCGCTCAAGAACTTGCGGGGGGGGGGGGGGGAATGAGCTGAACGAGACCGGGTGGTGGCTTCGAAGGAAGCCGTAGGATGGATGGTTCAAAAGGGGTCATTCCATTTCTCATTCCCTGAGCTGAGGAAGAGCATGGGAATCCTCCAATCCCGAAAAAGCGAAGTTGAGCCGTGAGTTCCGATGTATATAACATGGTTGCCGTTGGGACACACTTTACATTTTTGCCTATTGTGGTTTAGTGGGAAATCCAACCACTTAACTGCTAAAATTTAAATTGTTGCTCCCCTTCCAACGTCAACCAAGTATAAGATGGAATTGTTTAGATCACGAAGAACATAGTGCCATAGTGGTAAACCAAAAGTTCTTGTCCTTCTTGGCCCCTCCGCGAGGGGCGGGAGATGGATTGGGACCCTCCAAGTCGTTCTGTGCTCATCAGCGCATTGGTGGCAACTATGTTTGAACACATGAGTCGGGCGCTGCGCAAACGACTAGGTCCCCCAGTAGTGCCCTTTTACCCTTCTTTGGGGGAGGGTTCCCCTACTAAAATAGACTACAGAAAAAAGGTACCCTTATTCTAACCTCTCTACTGGAGGACCTAGACTACCCTGTTTCCAACAGTCAAGTGGACAGCGGGCTCCCGACTTCATTTCGCATGATTGGAGGGAGAGTAGTTGTCCGGTGTTCTAAGATTTGAACGAAAGATTGGTTCTATTTCTAGATTGGTTTTATTTGTCCAAACCCCCATCAAGCCCAGCCGCTTTTGGAGCCCTTCCGAAAGGAAGCCAACCAGTTTTGACATTGCCCAACTGGACACACTTCCCGATTCGCTGACGCAAGTCAAGCGTGTAGGCTTCCTTCAGAATCATGCTCAAGCTGACCAGATTCGAAGTTTCGACTTGAAGCCGAGGATTGTGCACATGATTATGCGGTATGTTCCCGTTTTTTTTGTGGTGTAACACCTCCGCTTTCCCAGGCTTCCTGCGGGTTGCGACTCAGACTCGATGTGTTGCTTGCATGATCCAGATCGGAGCTAGCACGTTTCTGCTAGGTTGTTGGTCTTGTAGTTTCCCTGACGTCAAAGCGATGTGTTCAATTTCAGGCCGCTCTTCAGTTTTTCCCCAAAACAACTTCTCGCGTTTGGAGTTGCTGGTCTTTTTGAGCCGAACCCGATGGCCCGGGGCAAAATCTCCCAGACTTTGGGGAGGAACAACCAGTGAGCCGGCCACAACCTGAACTTTTTCCTGCAGGTTTCCATCCATTTGGGTGTGTAACCCCGATGTTGCGTGAACGATAAAACCACACACAGACGCACCGCAGCCCCCATTTTTAGAAGGCCCCCCGCCATTTTGGACCACGCCTTTGCCGGGTTTCCGTGGCCACAGGGCCACGGGGCCCGCGGGCCCCGGCTTTGCCCAACACCTCCCGCAGGTGCTGCTGCTGACGGACGACCGCGCCTGCCAGCAGAAGGCGCGCCAGGATGGCCTGGCGGCGCTTCGGGCGGCGGAGTTTGTGGAGCGTATGCGCCCCAAGCGCCTCAGAGAGATGGGCCTTGGGTTGATCTTGCTGAAAGGAATATGTTCATTATGTTGTTGAGGAATGTATAGTATATTTATTTATACTCCCTGGAGTTGGTTTTGAAGGGAATCCATCACTAATTGGACAATTGTTTCGCATGTTCTCCAGGGGGCTTCAGCAAATGGAGGTGATGTTGGACTCTCTTTAATGCTGCCCCCCTGAACAGTCACAGGATCCTGACTTAGGAAAACACCTTTCTACAAGAGAGGACCCTATCGTTAAAGGAGGTGCAGCATTCTATAGGGGTCATGATGGTTTCTTGGGGGGTAGAGTAAGGACTTGTTTTCACCTTTTTGACCATCTTAGCAAGTTCGTCAATAGGTGAAACGGGCGCTGCGCATGCCAAAGATGAACCTCCCCTTTGCGGGGAGGTTCACACCTTCTGCGACACCGTGGTATTCGGCAAAAAAACAAATCAATGGGTCCCGAAACGGCCAAATGGGTTTGCAGACTTCTAAATCTTCACCCTCAGGTTGTTCTCCGTTTGCCTTTTGGGAGGTCCCTTCCAACTGACCATTTGTTTTAGCTTTCGGGAAGCCACTCGTAGATTGATCCCACCTGGGAAGGAACAGGAACTTTTGTTCACAGGGTCCCCGACTAAAATTCCACACACCGCGGGGCTCGGAGTTGCTGAAAGTTGGGAACTTGTGGTGGTTGGTTTCCTCTTGATTTCCACTAGGGTGTGGCTCAAAATTAAACGATCGGAGGGGCAAACCGCAGATTTTGGTCCATGTTTCCACTTACCAGGGCAACCCATTTTGGAATTCCGGGTTTTTGAGCCACGGCCACTCGCCGCTAGCGATTTTGGGGGACCCGGACTTTGAGAAAAGCCACCGAGTTGTTTCTTATTTTTTTTCTTTTGAGGGCAATGCGTTTAGGTTGAATCAAAGGGAAACCAATTGAAAGTCCGCTGAATTTGAGAAGCACCTGAGATCTGGGTCAAGGATGGGTGATATCTCGTTTGCTTGTTTCACTTTTCCACTTGCTGTGATACCAAGGGCAATCCCCTTCAGCGGCAAGTATTCAGTTCCTGTCGAGTGAATGCTGTTGGCCATCAGACTCACCTTGGACATTCCAACATGAACGTGTGTCTTTTTGGATAGTACCCTTTGTGGGGTTGTTTTCACCACTTCAGGGGGGGACTAATGTTAAGAACCTCCCATGATCCAATTCTTCTTGGACACGAAGACTCTGGGAATTGCTGGCTCTCAAATGAAGTTGGATGGTGTTCGCAAGAAAATCAAGAAAGGTAGCCTCAAGGAGGCTTCAAGGAGGCTAGCTTGAGTTTGTCCTTGCGTTAGCAAGGCTAGACTGAGGGGGTCTGGACCCCCCCCCCTCCCGTCCCCCCCTTCCCCCCCTCCCTCCCCCGCTCCCTCCCCCCCTTCCTCATTCCTCCCCCCCCCCTTCCCCCCTCCCTGCCCCCTCCTTCGCCTGAGTGCCTGATTGGCAGCTTCCCGCTCTTTTCGCTCGCTTCGCTTCACACTTCGGTCCGCCTTTTCGCACCGTTTTGCTCGTCAAGTCACGGTGAACCTTGTCCCTTGCTCGCTTTGTCAGTGCCCAATTTACATGGTCAACAAGTGCTTCCCTTTTCGCGGAATGGAAATTGCCTCTTAACATAGTCAAGCTGCTAGCTCCATGCGCACCTGAATGGTGTTAGGGGGGCCACTTTTCAGCATCCTACCTTTCGTGTCACCCCTTCTCAAGTTTCCCAGATCCCGGTTGGCCTTATGGTAGGCAACCAGCCATTTCCGTTGGGTCTTTGAAGGGTGGTTCCCTCCCTGCTAAACATGGATCTGGGGTTTGGGAACCTGTTTTTGAGAGTTGCAGCCACCTGGACCTACCTATGTTACAGCTCATTTTGCACGGCAAACAACCTTGGGAATCCCATTATTTCCTTATTTCTTGTTTTTGAACTGTGATATTTGCAGCACCGGGCTCCGGCTTCTAGTTGGTTTCAACCCAAACTGGGGTCTCCAAAATGATGTTAAGTCATATTTTAGGGTAGCCTAAGTAAGAAGCAGACAACTCTGGGGGTTCATTCTCCAGTCTTTTCCATCATCCTTCTTGTCAAAAAAAAAGATCGCTGTTTCCCTGTTCTGCTGGTTCTCTGGAAAGATTCGGATCCCTCATAATGGTTGGGGGTGTCCCCTAGAATACCTCCCACCAACTAACATGGGTTTGTGCAAAAAGGCCCAAGAGGAAAGTAGTCTTTGTACAGGCGTCTCTGCACACACCCATGTTAGCTGGTGGGCAGAATCAGACCTTTGGTGCATGTTGCTTGGATGTTAGGATTTTGACTTTTTGCCAACGAATGGGGTTCTCCATTGAACCGCTAAAAGTCAAACTTTTAGCAGCGAGACAACTCAGATTTTCTGTGTACCCAAAGCCAAGAACCAGCGGTTTCCCGAGCCTAGCGCTACCTGAGGTTCCCAGAGGCGGGCGAGAAGCTGGCGCTGAGGGACGAGGAGGCAAGCGCAGATGGGTCCCATGAGCCACCAGTTTTTGGTTCCATTGGGGTTTTGACTTGGCGCGTTTGAAGAGTGGGGACGGGGTTCCAAGACTTTAGGGTTTAGGGTTTGACTTGGCCAGGTTTGGGGTTCCATGGGGGACCTAGTGAATCTCGGAAGTCTGATGTCCCAAGGGTTTGTTTGGGGCCAAACAAATTAAATCGCCACTCCCCAAAGGAGCGGAAGGGTTCCCGAGAAAATGGACAACGAGCAAAGCGTGCTCCTTTTTCCGAAAAAGCCACAGAGCAGGTGGTAAAGTTGCGTGCGAATTAGATGTGGGTGATGTCCAGATTATTGAGCAACCGATATTCTGTTTAGAATTGCCACCAACATGTGTCACCCCGAAAAGTTCTCAACCCACAGAGCCCCCCAAACAAAACAGACGTGTGGGTGGCTCGTCCTTTCTTTAGGGGTACCATTTTGGGGGTGACCACGTGGAAAACCACATGGTTTTTTTGCCGGAGGGGTCCCCAATTTTGAGACATACCTTGGTGGCTCCCAGCCATCCCCTTAGCTTTTTAGGTGTTTAGGGTTTAGTGGTATCTTCCATTGAACCCACAAGTTAAACTTTTAGCAGGGGATCTGAGGGCAGCCCAGATACCATAGGTGTCCTTTTGATCGGTTAGTTTGGTTAAAAATACAAGGGTTCCACTGGGTTTAGATGGGTTTGATTCCATCCAGAAGAACCCTATCTATTTGTCCAAAAGGACACCTATGCCATGCCACCTTTCAGTGACCTGGACATCCGCCAAGTTCAGGAGGACGCATCTGCCACGCCTGTCCCGACGCCCCGGGGGCAGAAGAGGAAAGACTTCACGCGCTTCGGCCTCGAAAGCGCCTAAAGCACGTTCTTATGTTGTTGGAAGTTCAAATCTCATTTTGGAAATTCACATCTCATTTTTGAGAGTTTTTTGGGTCATGTTGAGCATGCTTTCCCTTTGCGTTGATTTGTAAAGTGGCCATGTGGGCATGTGTGTGTGTGTGTGTGCGTGAGTGTGTATGAGCGCGTGTGTTTGTGTTGTTTGAGGAAACAGGTTTTGGGGTGTTGGTTGAAAGGGATGCCGAAAGGCAAACCACGATGTTGGAGGGTTCCCCTATTTTGACACATACTCATTGGTTTACCTATAGACTATTAAACAAATACGGGAAATCACACTGCGAACGCATCTAACCGGGTTGAATCTGAGGAGGAATCCCGCAAAAAACATGGACCCGTGAGCCCCCAAGAGTGGGCCACTCCGGGCAAGCTGTTTGAAGTGCCCAAGTGAGCCAACCCACTGGCAGAATCTCGGCTCTGGCATGAACGGTGGCTCGGTATGGCAAAACTAAACATTCGCTTCATGTTTCTTATGTTCCCTTGTTGGCTGTAAAGGGATCTGATCACTAAATATGGTTATTTTTCCAGGGGGCGAAAAAGGAAATGGAAGAACCAACTCCAATCTAGCAAAGCCAAGGCCCAGCTACTCAGTGCACTCGCCCTTTTGCCCTTTGGCCCTTTTGCTTGGTGGCTGCTCACTAAACCGGCCATCCCCATTGTGCGGGGTTCCCTTTTTCTACCCGGGTCACCGAACAAAGTGGGAAAACGCCAGCCCTTTGGAAACAACTTGCCCCAACCGTTTACTCCCATGCAAGGTAGCTTCCTTTGCGTTGAAGTTGTCGTGTCGGCAGGTTGGTCGCAAGGCACTAGACACACCCAGTCCCAAGTGCCAATCCCAGGCCCGATGCCGGATATGCAAGTGAATAGCCTATGTCGATCAAAGCCCAGCACCCAGCACAGACTTGGTATGCTTCCATGTGGTTTGGCCACAAAACCCAGGTTTAGTAAGCCCAGGTCGATGAGGGCAAGGAGTGTCCCATTTCAAAGGCAATCTTTCACTTGTGGGCTAAACACAACACTATTGATCATCGACATAGTATATTGATATGGGGTTGACACGTTTTCCCAATGTCTTGTGCTTGCTACCTGCAAGAATCTCCTGGAATCCCCTCAACAACCTGCCCAACACCACCAACCGCCCAGGGTTGGCGGATTGACTCCATACTTCTTGAGGCATGGACGTTTAGACTTGACGTTGGAAGCTTTTACTCCATGTGTCCTGCCCAAGTCAAACCTTTAGGGGACCAACAAAGCACGAGATCTTGCTGGGGCCCAAACCGCCGTTCCGAGGACGGTGCCGGGCTCCGTGTACCCAGCGCACTTGAAGGGCAGCGAGGTGGAGAAGGGCCTCAAGGAGCGGAAGCTCTTCCAAGGGGTGCTCCGGATGCACATGAACACCTGCCTGCAGCTTGGCAAAGCAAAGACCATGGATCATCGTCATGGAAAAGCCTCATGTTTTTTGTTTGTTTTTGTTCCACGTCGATGAGTTTTATGTCCGGTTGACATTGGCTGCAGTCTGGCTTTCGCGCCCAAGCTTTCAGACTCCTTTGAGGAGCTTTCGCCCTCCAGCCCTCCAGTTGGATTGCCAGAACTGGCGCTGGATCCAACTCACACAGGGGTAGCGACCTTTTGTAGACTGGGCTGCAGTTTGTTGGCAAGGCCCAAAGCTGTTTGCAGGGCTCGGCATTGCAGGAGACACACCCACTGGACTGATCAGCTTGCCAAACCCTGCTGACGCCCGACGGCCAGCGATCAAGATACGAATGTTTTCGGATAAAAGAAGTAGGGGGTGTCTTCTTTTGGAGGGTGTTTTTTTTGGGGTGGTCAAAATGGACAAGTCAGGAAATAAACACAATGTTGTGTGTATCCTCTCAAAGTCTGACCCAACCTTTTGCAAAAGTCTTCGGAACCGGGGAAAAAGCCGAGGCACGGCAGCGTCACGTGCGGCGGCACGGAGGAGATGGAGGCGAGTGGGGAGATTTTCGTTGAGCCATCCAAAAGGTTTCTAACCTAGGTCCCCCAGTAGTGCCCTTTTACCCTTTTTGGGGGGAGGGTTCCCCTACTAAAATAGACTACAGAAAAAGGGTGCCCTTATTCTAACCTCTCTACTGGAGGACCTAGTAACAATGACAAAAGGTTTTCCAAAGCCCCGATGTGCCCGACACTAGGTTTTGAAGAGGCCAATGCACCCATCCATTTGTTCTTCACACCCCTTATCGCACGGACACAACTTTAGGAGGGATAGTGTGAAGAGAAGGTGAATAGGTGGGTCACTTTTCTCTTGCCTCTCACGAATCCTCACCACCTATCGGTAAACTCTGGTAATTCGTTTGCACTGGCGCTTGCTTCCGCAGACTGCATCCTAGCCAATCACATGCCAGCCTGTAGAAGTCTACGAACCAGCTACTTCATATTTGTTGTTCTCAGCATGGTTATGCATAGATTGACAGATCCATTGGGATTCTCGTTCTTGCCTTCATTGATTCATGCGCTCATGCCAAACAAATCATGCATACATCCCTTTAAAGTCAAACATACACCCCTCTAGTCTAGGCTATGTCAATCCCTTAAACTTTGCTCAGGCCGCGGGCAGTGTGATTGTGGCCCGTTTTTGTTTTTTTTCCCACCCGACAGGAAGGGGTTGTTAGATTTTAGATTGGAATCGGAGTTTGCGATGCTTCTACACCACGCCCCCACCCAGTGTCCCGCCAGAGCAGCTCTCCAGTGGATCCCGCCAAGTATCCCGCCAGAGCAGCTCGCCAGTGGATCCCGCCGAGTATCCCGCCAGAGCTGCTCGCCAGTGGATCCCGCCCAGTATCCCGCCAGAGCTGCTCGCCAGTGGATCCTGCCGGGTATCGCGCCAGAGCC